CCCCTTCTAGAGTGCCCGCGAGGCTGTTCTCGCATAGCCCCGTATCGACGTCCATCGAGCCCCGCGGGTGCTATAGGCCAGCTCCGCAGGGCGGGCGCTGATTCATAGCGCCCCCCGCTGCGCCCAATGGGCCCTCGAAAACCTCCCTCGAGGACCCGGTCTTGGCGCAGCTGATCCGCGAGGGCATGCAGAAGGCGCGCGCGAACCTCGGCGAGCGGAAGTTCCTGGGCTGCCTCAACACGTTGGCTGCCATCGAGAAGCCGCTGGCCAAACTGCAGAAAATGAACGCGAAGATCATGCAGATCCACGCCGCCAAGACGATCGAGAGCGACGAGTCCGATGAGTCGGACGAGGCGGCCCCCGCGCCGAGGGCGAAGGCCAAAGCGAAAGGCAAGAAGAAGGCCAAGGCGAAGGCGGCGCCGTGATCCCTTTTAGTAGTTAGTCTCGCCACTGAGCCCCCAGTGGCTTCTGGAGGGTTTCGCCAGGAACAAACGCTACAGTAAACAACGCAATGCCGAACAAAAAACGATCGGAGCCGAACAAAATACTAAATGACGCGATCGGACCCGACCCACCGACCGATGACAGACCGATGACACGGCGATGACCGATGACCCCCGATGACACCCGATGACGTCATCGCACGTCATGCGAGTTCGCCCAATGTCACAGGCGCGGACCCGATGACACCCGATGACCCCCCCCCGATGACACCCTCTCCGGTGTCATCGATGACCCCCGATGACCGATGACATGCGATGACGCCCTCCAGAGCTCGTTCCGCGTGCTGCCCCACTCATATTTTCTCGTGTGCGCAGCGTGTGGTCAGTGGCGCGAGCGCCCAAGATCGCACATTTCTGTGCGTTTCGAATTTAGTTGAGACTGCTGGTGCATATATGCACCTGCCGCGCGCGGAGGGACGTCGACTGTGCGAGTTGCGATTAGGCTCCGCTTTCGCCACCTCGCACTATGGAGAATACGGGTGGATTACAGGAGGAGGTAACCGTGCGAATATCTAGGTCAGGCCAGTTGGGGTGACTGTAACGTCGGGCCCTCATCCGTGCGCGGCGCCAGCTAGGCGCGTGGTGATGCACGGCAACTGGTCGCGGTCTTGGCAGCGGAGAGATCGTTGCCTTTGGTGCCGAGCCTGAACATGCGCGGCACGTGCGAGGGGGGAACGAAAATGATGAGCGGTATCGATGATGAGGGAAATGCGCATGATGATGGTTGAAGATGAGCAGGGCGAACATCGAGGATACAGACGACGAGGAGGAGGATGAGGAGGAGGCAGAGGAGGATGGGGAGGGGGGGGATGAGGAGGAGGAGGAGGAGGAGGAGGAGGAATACGATGAGGAGGAGGAGGACGAGGAGGAGGATGAAGAGGAGGCAGAGGGGGCGGAGGATGATGAGGATGAATATTATGACGATGCGGAGGCGGAGGAGGAACGCGAGGAGGAGTGGAACGAGGAGGGGAATGATGCGGAGGATGAGGAATAGGAGGAAGATGATGATGGGGATATGGAGGATGATGAGGATGAGGAGGACGAGGAGGAGGATGAGCAATACGCTTAAGGATGACACGGAAACTGCGCGGAGATCGCCATGTGGAGAGCCCGAGCCAGATCTCGCCCTGACGGATACCATCGCGAGATCCCGTCATCGCATTCGTCATCGCACCGTCATCGCCCCGTCATCGCTCCCGTCATCGCCCCCGTCATCGCCCCGTCATCTGCGATGACGGGTGCGATGACAGGTGCGATGACGGTGCGATGACCAGTGACCTTCAGCTCCGCGCAGATCTGGCATCGAGCTTTCTCCTAGGCCACAGCAACGGCTATTTGATGACCGAAGCGAGGCCAAGCGATGAAGGGGGGGGCGCATGCATGCTTCCTCGGCCGCTGGCCGCCCCTCCCGCTGTCGGTCGACGACGACCCGAAGGCGGGCGCGAGCGCGCGCGCGCGCGCTCGCTTGCTTGCTGTGGTTGCCTCAGTACATTGTCCCCCATCCACATCCTGTCATGTGTCCTCTTCCTCCTCCGAGCTCCTCTCACTCCTCGACTGTTTCCTCCACCTCTCATCTATCCTCTCGTTCGCCCTGTCCTCTCTCGTAGCCATTTTGGCTTGGGGCGCGCGGGGCCCTGGCCTCGGCGCCGCCTGCGGCGGCGATGGCGCCCAAGGTGAGGAAGCGCAGGCGCCCCCCTGACCGCGGCTGCACGGCGCGCAGAACGGAGCGCAGCACGCAATCCCAGAGAGACGCTGGTTCGAATTTGCTGCGCCAGTTTCTGCGGCTTTATAGTTCAGCAAAGCTCGCCGCGCTCGATTTCTGCGAGTTGTGCCACTGGGGTGATCTAGCTGGCGTGCCTGGCGCTGCGTTCAGTTTATACGCTGTGCGCCCAAGCGAACAGTCAGGGAAATACCAGGACCACTTGGACAAAGTACTGCCGAATGTGAAGCACTTGACGACTGTGGCGACTCCTAGCAACGTTAACCGACGAGCGTTGCGGTCAGTCAGGGACGTCATGGTACGGTGCATTTACGAGAGCATCGATGATGAGCTCATTGCCAGCCCTGAGACACAACTGACGTGTCCCATTGCCGATCTCGATGACGACTCGCCGATGCGCCTCCCAGTGTACCAGAACCACCCAGTGGTGAAGCAAGCCGAACGCGACGGGGTGCCCATGCCGCTGCCAGTCGCGTTCTACCTCGACGGTGTACAGTTTCGGGCGCCTGCAGCAGGCAGGACCGATTCAGTGCTGGGGCTTTGGGGGGTCAATTTATTATCGAGGAAGCGTCATCTGATGAGTGTACTGCGAGGCTCAGGTATGTGTTTATGCGGCTGCAAGGGTTGGTGCACCATATATCCGCACCTCCAGTCAGCGCAGTGGATGTTTGAATCAATGAGCAAGGGCGTGCGCCCCCCTCGGCGGTGGGGCGGTGCTGAGTGGGCGCCATCTTGTCCAATTGGAACGTCGGCGAGGGATCGCCCGCGCTTGTCCTATAGAGCAGCTCTGCTTTACATCAAAGGGGACTGGTCGGAGCACGCACACTCATTGGGCCTTTCTTCGTGGAGCAGCACGTGGGCGCCCTGCCAGTTCTGCACGCTGATAAAGAGTGATCTCCACTCCATGTACGACGATATGCCAGATGGCATGCGGTGGCATCTCAGAGACGGCCCCAGCTACGAGTCTGCGTGCAGCAGGTGCGAGGTCAGAGTAACGCTGCACACGCCACACGACATGGGCTCTCTTCTGGACGCGCTGAGATGGCGGAAGCAGGCCAAGAACCCGCCGAGCCTAGGTGGCCGAATCATCGTTGCGGATGTCAACGTCAACAACGTGCAACTCCTGGTTGGTGACCGATTGGAACCGTCGCGAGATCTGCCCGACAAGGTCAAGCTTGACACGTCACGCCTTCCGATTACCATCACATTTTGGCGGACTCGCAGGGATCATAAAGGGCGTTCGACTGACTGCGTCACCCATCGGTGCCCCATGTTCGATCGCTGCATCGGCACTAACGTTCGCGACAATTTGGCGGTAGACGAATTACATTGCCTGTATTTTGGCCCAATGATGAGGTACGTGAGTGCTTGCATGTGGCGAGTGGTTCTCGCCAACACTTGGAACTTCAATGGCGCTGTCGATCAAATCGCGACGCAGGCGGTCCGCCAGATATCAGGTGAGTTGAAGGTGTGGCAGCGCGACAACAATGTACCTTTTGGAATGAGGCTGGGTGCGATCACGCCCAACATGCTGGGCAAACGCAAGGGCTGCACTACGCGGGACGCAATTGGGTACAAATAATAACCAACATGGGGGGAGGTTCGGTTAGCTTCCGTGTTAGATCCACAACGCTCTCCTCGGCATCCTCCCTCCCCGCCTTCTCCTCCTCCTCCTCCTCCTCGTCCTCCTCCTCCTCCTCCTCATGTGTCATGCTCCTCCAAGGTGGCCCCCCCTCCTATCCCCCCCGCCCCCCCGCCCCCTGGTCGCGCGCCTCGACCTACCCCAGCGGGGGCGAGCTGGTGGCATGCCCAGTCGGCGGGCCCCCCCCAGCCGCGGAGGAGCCGGCATGCCCCCCGCCCGATCGGGGAAGGGGCGGGCGAGTTCTGGCGGGAGTCGAGGGGGGGTGAGGAGGTGGGGGAGGAGGCGGAGGAGGAGGTGAAGAGGGTGGCGAGCAGGAGTGGGGGAGAGACCATAGCGCAGGTCATCGCACGCGTCATCGCAGATGACGCGTGCGATGACGCCCGATGTAGCGTTGTAGCTCACCGCCCTCAGGACCGGATCCATCCAGGTGATAAGATGACCCTCAAAGCTGCTGAATGTGGGCTCGCGCTTCCGTTCGTGATGCATCTTGTCTGCAAGTTCGGCGGTGTCAGTGTACATGGGCCGTTTCTCCTCCAAGCTGGTCAGACGTTGCTAAGTCTTCTGAACACCATCCGAAGGCGTCGTTGCATCGTCCCCGTGGAGGTGCGGCAGTCGCTTATTCTTCATTACGACATGCACATGCGATGTTGCATTGCCAGTTCAATTGCCCTCACTCCGAAGCACCACCTCACTGTGCACATGCTGTTCAGGTGAGCGTCTGGTTTAACCTAGCCCAAGCCAATCCCGCGCCAGGGGGAACCCGACCCAACCCATCCCAACCCAAGCCCAATCCAACCCAGACCCCACCTCAAAGGGGGATGCCCTCATCCAAGCCTACCCCGAGCCCAGCCCGAGTTCAACCTAGAGCCCGCCCCGACACTAGTGTTACAAACCCGCGCACAGGGTGGATGTACATGGGTCACCGCGTGCATACAACTGCTTTGTGGACGAGGGGTTGAACGCCGTCCTCCGCGCGTTGGCCGTATCTGCCCACCGATCAAAATTTGAGTTTCGAGTTTTCTCGATGTGGGATATTCAATCTGCGTTGAACGTATCGCTCTACATAGCCCCTGGGCTCACAGATAGCATTTCGCTTTTGTCTGGGCTTCATCAGTGACCGCCAGTTCGACTCGAGATGGTCGACGGCGGCTTGCCCGTGCACGAGGAGGGATTGCGCTGGGCGCGCCAGGCAGGGGCGCGCGTCGTGCGCACAGGCGTCAACATGTCTTGTGCGAGCGCGTTCTTGGCAGTGTGTGTGGCCGAGTTCCTGTGCGTCTTGCCGTCAGTGACCAGGGCGACAGCGTTCCTCGAAGTCTTTGCTGGCTTTGGTGATACGGCAAAGAACGTCGCTGCTGCTGGCTACATCGCGCGCACGTTTGAGATGATGAATTCACGTTTTGAGAATGGCTGCACGGCAGTTGGTGCATTATACGCCATGTATCTCGTGGCCAGCGTGGTGCCGACAGGTCTTGTTCATTTTTCACCGCCCTGTTCGACATTTCTATGGATCGCCCGCTGGCACACGGGACGCCGCCCGCTGAACGTATTTGGCAGTGACGGTCGCGACGACGTACAGTGCGCTAACTTCTTGGGCGAGCTGACGCCCCGAGGGTTTCAATCCCATGTGGGGAGGAGCGCGCGAGGATGTGGGGGGAGATGAGGAGGATGAGGAGGGAGGGGAGGAGGAGGAGGAGGAGGAGGAGGAGGAGGAGGAGGAGGGGGAGCAGGATGGGGGATACGGAGGGTGGGGAGGGGGGTGGTGTGGCGGAAGGAGGGGAGGGCGGGGAAGGGGCGGGTGGATGGAGGAGCGGGATGTGCAAGTTAGAGGCGCGCTCGCGCCACATCTGGCATCCTAGACATCTTCCCCATGACGGCTACAGCCGGTCACGTGGGCAGCGGGGGGAGCGGATGTCGGGGGGCTGGGGGTGGCCAGCAAGGTCGTACTTGATGGCGCTGGCGTCCTGCCGCTGCCTGCGCATCACGTGCGAACAGCCCCTGAACTCGCTGTTCTACGTGCTCCCTGGCGCGCGCTCGGCCATCAAGATGTGCAAGCTCTCGCGGCACGTTTCTTGGATGGGCGGATGGGGCGGGCCCACGATGAAGCCAGGCGAGTTCTACACTAACATCATGAGCGACGAGGTGCGCGCCATCGTGAAAGGACACAGGGGGGCCGTGTCAAAGCTTGGCGCAACCAGGCGACTTGCTTTGACAACGCGGGTCGGGAAAGCAGGCAGCCATAAGCATTTCGTCATCGGGCAGAAGTCGCACCTGAAGCAGTCGGCCCGCTACCCGTCTGAATTTACTGCTGCGTTCGCAAGCCTCGTTTGTGCAGGTTTGTCTCAGCGGGCTGCTAATGCGGCCCGCCGTGCGTAATTCAATGCCCGCGCTGGCCTGGATGTGTGTAAACACAATTGACAGCTCGCCGTTTCGCGCTTGGCCAGAGTCCTTATCCTCCTCATCGTCCCCCCGCTGCCTTCACTGGTGCGTCATCGCATCCACCATCCGCGATGGCGGGGGCGATGACGGGCGGCGCCGTGTCAACCGTCGCCCACCGCGCGCCCGCGCGGGGCGCGGGTCAATGCAAGTTGTCGCCCGTTGTCGCCCGCGCTTTTGTCGGCGATCAACAAACGCATAGATCGCACCACATATATTACAAGCGCATAGATTGCACCACATATAGATCGCCCGTTGGCGCGAAAAACAAACGCATAGATTGCACCGCATATATTACATCAAAAACTAGCACATTGCCCACGCTGTTTGGGGTCAATGCTGTACTGGTTGGGGGTGCGCGCGCTGTTTGGAGTCCACGCTGGAACCGCGCTGGGTGGTGCCCGCGCTATTTAGGGTCGATGCACCGTTTGGGGTCCACACTGCCCAGGTGCCCACGAACTGTTTGGGGTCTACGCTGTTGTCGCGCTGTTTGGGGCCCACATTGCTTGGGGTCTACGCGCTGGTTGGGGTCCACGCTGGAACAGACCCCGTTGAATAGCATTTTGGCTCAAGTCGCACACCTTCGACGCCGCCCCCGACGCCGTGCCCGCCGCTTTCACCCGACGCGATGGCGAATGCGGGTCAATACTTCGCGGTGGTGCCATCGGACACGACTGGCCCCCTGAGCAAGTTCCAGATCCACTTCAAGGAGCTGGCCACTACAGGGCCAGTGTTGGCGCAGACTGGGGCGAACACGTCGTGGCCGAACGGCGTCGAGGTGAAGAAGATCAAGGAGAGCATCCAGCAGAACTATTCGATCTACGCTGACAAAGACGAGATCTACATCTACGAATCCTCTGCTGACTTCACTACGACAAAGCACGAACTGTGGGACGAGTACGTCGTACATGCTGGCACGAAGTACCTTATCGCCTCGAGCACGAAGATGGCGATCGACCACCAACCTTCATCGCGGGGGGCATCCACTATGTCCTCTGGCGTGGACGTCGACCCCTTCCTGACCTTCACCGTGAAGATTCAGGACACGGGCGAGTGGGGGCCCATCAAGGTTCCGAATCCTGCGGTTGTGCACGACAGCGGTGGAGTGCGGGTTCTCCTCCTGAAGAAGTGCATAATCTCGCAGCTGGCCTTGCCGAGTGGGAAGAAGCTCACCAACGGGGTGCGCATCTACCGCAACAGCGCGGGATGCGCCAAGGGCCTGCCCTTGAGGGGCAACGACGTCGTGTGGAAGAACTCTTGGTACTACGCAATCATCGACACTGATGCTGAGCCCGTGTTCGAGTACCCCGATCACGTCTCGCCCGACTCCTTGGATGGTGGCTGGAGGATGGCGGGCGCCGAGGACGATGATGTTGACGGCCCACAGTAGCGGAGCCTACGGAGCCTGCGCTTTTCCCCCACTGGACCAGCTTGACTAGCTAGGTTCTTTGCGCACCAGCCGATCGCTGGAGGCGCCGTCTGTTTTTCGTTGCCCTTTTGGGGGGGTGGCACGTGCATCGCGCACGCAGTAACGTAACGTGGGAGGGCGGAGAGGCATCGGAGGAGGAGGAGGATCAGGATGAGGAGGAGGAGGAGGAGGAGGAGGAGGAGGAGGAGGAGGAGGAGGAGGAGGAGGACAAAGAGGAGGAGGAGGAGGAGGAGGAGGATGAGGAGGAGGAGGATGACGAGGAGGAGGTGCAGGAGAAGGAGGACGAGGGGGAGGAGGAGGAGGACGACGACGTCGACGTCGACGACGACGATGACGACGACGAGGATCTCTCGCAACCAATCGCCTCGCGCGCGGTTAACCCGTCGCCGCGCGCAGCGCGCTGGAGAAACCGCCTCCCCCTCCTCCTCCTCCTCCTCCTCCCTCCTCCTCCTCCTCCTCCTCTCGCCCCCCTCCTCCTCCTCCTCCTCCTCCTCCTCCTCCTCCTCCCCCTCCTCCTCCTCCTCCTCCTCCTCCCCATCCCCCTCATCTTGCCTCATCCCCCTCCTCTGCGAGAGGGATCTCGTGGAGCCCATTATCTGAGGCGTCATCGCACCCGTCATCTGCGATGACGCGGGCGATGACGGGCGGTTCCGCCCCAGTCGGCATCCACACGCGCCCGCGCGGGGCGCGGGCTGATGCAAGTCGGAGCGGAGTCGCCCGTCGTCGCCAACGTCGCTTCGCAGATCACGGGTGCAATGACGTTAAGTGTAGCATGTGTCTCAACGAGTGACGAGCAGCATGCAACGCAAACGCATCTAGATTGCAGCACGTATATTGCACCACACAGTGTATAATTATATGCGACTGAACGCTGTTCGGGTTCCAATCTGGACGCACGAGAACAAACGTTCCACAACATGTCCAGGGCATTTCTGGCTCAAATATCCTGCGCCGACGCCATATCCGACGATGGCGACCACGCCAGGCACGCCGCCATACCCCCCTCCGCCAGGCACGCCGTCATGCCCCCCGCCGTGCTCCGACGATGACGAGCACCGCAGCCGGTCGCCGCGCAGGCGCGAGGGGGCCAGCGCGGAGCAGGCGAACAGCGCCGCGCGTCTCCCAGACAGCTCGATGCGGGCGGCGCTGGACGAAGCGACGAAGGCCTTGACGCAGGCCATGCAGACCAGCGGGCAACTGACGGACGCAATTGTGCCAGCCCTGATCACCAACAGAGAGCTGGCGAAGGCCCTTGTGACAGCCCTGATGAGCACCCTGGTGACAAGCAACAGCGACCTGTTCAAGACCGTGCGCGAGCTGACGGCCCGAGTCGAGACGCTCGAGGGGAAAGTCAAATTGCTCGAGGCCCACAGCCCGAAGGACGACGATAAGGACAACGACGAGGGCGGTGACGCGGGCTCCAAGGGCGGCGGCGCGCCGAATCACGACAGCTCCAATGCGGACGACGACTCCAAGGGCGGCGAGGGCGATGGCGCGCCGAATGACGACAGCTCCAAGACGGGCGACAACTCCAAGGGGGGCGACGACTCGAAGGGCAACGACGCGGACAGCCTCATGCCATACGATGGTCCCAGGCAGCACGTCATCCACTACGATTGTGGGTTCAGCGACTTGGACGTCCTCCTCCAGGTGGCCCTGCAATTAAAGAACGGCCCCTATGACGAGCTGGGCCACAACGGCTTGAGCGTCGACTACAGCTCGGACAGCGCGGACGGCCTGGACGAGGGCGATGTCAAGTGGGAGTACGCCAGCGACGAGGAGCTCATCAGCGACATCTTCGAGCGCGTGGCGAAGAAGGAGAAGGAGGCTCAGACTACCTGGGCAGCGTGCTCGCATTGCGGGCTCAACCAGGTCGTTGGCTCGCGCGGCGGCGACTGTGTCATGTGCAACTGGCCTGTGCTCTACAACTGAGCGCCTGCGCCCGCTAGCGCCGACGCCAGCAAAGACTGAGCGCCTGCGCCAGCACCAGCGCCGACGCGCGGCTGGCGCCATCACCGACGCCAGAAAACCTTAGGACGATGAGGAGGGAGGGAGGCTCCTAGGAGGAGGGAGGGAGGGAACCTCGAGAGACCCCGCTAGGGCCATCGACGGGCTGTCTTAGAACCTTAAATTTGGGGCAATATGGGCCGTCTTGGAACCGTATTGGGGCCGTCTTGGACCCGTATTGAAACCGAATTGCCCCCCATCCTCTGCGCGTGTGCACATATATGTATATTCATATATTCATATATATATATATATATGTGTATATATATATATATATGTATGTATGCGCGTGTGCACATCGTATAATTGAGTTTGCATGCGATTATATATAAAAAGAATACTGACGGTGACCGTGCACACGTCGCGAACCATGTATAGATTTTGCTCGAGTTCACTGGGCAGTGAGAATTCGGATCGTAACCCAAAGCCGTGGAACTGTGCGCCCGCCCGCGTAGTAAAACATAAACAATGCATGGCATTGCGTCGCACCGCATAGCATAGCACACTTATCATAACCAACAACGCATAGCATAGCATCGCAGCCTAGCATATGGTTATCATTTTTTTTTTTCTCCTTGTTATTTTTTTTGTTGTTCCTCTTCCTCCTCCTCATTCCTCCTCTTCCTCCTTCCCTCTTCCTCCTCCTCCTCTTCTCTCTTCCTCCTGTTTTTTTTCACGCTATCTATGTTTCAATTTGGATCGATGTTTAAAACACGGTTAAAGCATAATCTATTTTTGTTTGTAAGATCTTTTTTTTCTTTCCAAAAAAATAGATCCTGATCGACACTTACATGCAGGATCTAAAAAACAGATCCTAAAGACCAGTGGGTCCCAGAACTCCATTCCCGGGCCACATTTTGGATGCCCGGAGCCAACTGTAAGCCATTTCGTGCTCTTCGATTTCCCAGAACTCTATTCCCGGGCCACATTTTGGATGCCCGGAGCCAACTGTAGGCCACTTCGTGCTCTTCAAGTTCCCATAACTCCATTCCTGGGCATGATTTTGAATGCCCGGAGCCAACTGTAGGCCACTTCGTGTTCTTCTAGTTCCCAGAACTCCACTCCTGGGCAACATTTTGAATGCTGAGGCAAGCTGATGCTGCGGCCGAGGCAGGCTGAGGCTGAGGCAGGCTGAGGCTGAGGCCGAGGCTGAAGGCAGACTGAAACTGAGGCTGAAGCAGACTGAGGCTGAGGCTGAGGCAGGCTGAGGCTGAGGCTGAAGCAAGCTGATGCTGAGGCAGGCTGAGGCTGAGGCTGAGGCTGATGCAGGCTGAGGCTGAGGCAGGCTGAGGCTGAGGCCGAGGCTGAAGGCAGACTGAGGCTGAGGCTGAAGCAGGCTGAGGCTGAGGCTGAGGCAGGCTGAGGCTGAGGCAGGCTGAGGCTGAGGCTGAGGCAGGCTGAGGCTGAGGCTGTGACTGCGACTGCCGTTGCCGCTGCGACTGTCATCGCGAATGCGACTACGACTGCGAGAACAGCAGAATTCTACAACTGGATTTTCATCTGA